TAAATGGACACTTAAATGCCTTCTGCAGAAGTCTGTTTTGGATGGAATATCGTTTGTTGAGTTTTAGTCAATAAAATTGATAAGTTATAGATGGCAATAGGTCCTGGTAAACTCACAGCAATATAAGTACACAGGCACTAGCTATTTTCTCTTGGGTCTCCTACTCCGTAAAGTTTGACCAATGAAAATAGTTAATTGCATGGAGATTGAGAACGTTACTATTATTTCATTTTTTCAGGCGTGTTGAGCATTATATTTGAACAAAAACGTCAAATTTTTGCGTGTATAGAAACGTAATGCAGCAATTATTGTTCGAAAACGCCGTCCGACGGCGCCCCTTATTGTCTGATTCAATGCGCAGAGGGCGGGCCGCGTGAAAATCATTGATTAGATTTTTAATAGGGAAATTTGCCATCCAGCATGGCTCATGACTTCTGTTTTTTTCTAAGGATGCTTAGAGCCAGATCCAGTTATCTCCATAGATAGACGATCTCAGAATCCACATGAGTGTCCCTTTAGCTTGCATCCGCCGTTTACGCCAAGGACCAGTGAAGCCGGATATCCGCTCACCGATTCCTGAAGATCTCTTCCCAGTTTGGAGTGTCCGCGGTCCCTGAGGCCAGGTCCATCACAGCGCTCACCACGAGCCAGACGGCGGCGCAGCGAAGCATTCCGCAGCTCCTCCTGAAACACCTGCTGATGAGAAAAAGAAGTACATCGCTGCTGTGGGTTTGCTGGGCGGTCCGACGTAGAAAGCAACAGTCCCTTTTTGAGGGTTCATCCAGCAACATTGTGTGTCGCTATTTCATGGACACAGAGCTTGTGATTGGAGCCGAGTCCTCACCGAACGCTGACGTCATATTCGTGCCCACTACATGCTCAGTACGTGCCCAAACAATGGCGTACTCGAATAATTGGAGTAGCAGCCGCTAAGAGGCGCGCAGTTTGGAAAACGGTCAATTGCGGTAGTGTTTTGGTCATACTTCCCAAAATCGTCGTATGCATAGAATACAATCTCGGTGCGGTACAAATCTCGTTGCGGTTCCTTAGTTTATGTAGCGAGTTTCGCACCGGGACTTCCGACGAGAACGCCATTGGTTGTCACTGTGATGGTACGGCTGCTTACGCCAGCCAATGGGATAAGGCCACGTCGCCCGCGGAAGTCCTTTGATATTTTTTTTTCTAAGTCGTGTGAAAGCTACTTTAATGCAGTTTGCACAGATCAGTTGTACGGCCACCGGGGGGGGGGGGGGGGGGGGGGGGGCATATTATAGAATCTAGTACCCGTGCCCCACGGGCAACTCGAATGCCATTTACATCGAATGACATTTGTGATCGGCGAATCAGCGCGCAATCTGTCGCGCGTGGAATGCGCAACGCCCGGAGTGTCGCGCGCTGATTTGCCGTCCGCTCAAATGTCATTCGTTGTAAATGGCATTCGAGTTGCCCGTGTGGCACGTGTGTAAATCGCCATGATAAGTTTAATAATTAACTAACCATGGTTAATTAACTCTTCAATCAGTCAAAATAGATATCTGGTTTCGTAAAAAAAAAACTTCTTGGGTCTCGTCAAAAACCATTAAATAAGTCAATTTAGACACATTTGGTGCGCGCAGATATTGGGGTGGTGCGCTAAAGATATATCACTCGTGCAGCAGGCGCAAGGCTTGTGGCGCAAAAACACGCTGGTTTTTCCGTTTCCCCAGTTTCGCACCCCCAGCTTTGCACCTGGTCCAGGAGTACTAAATTTAGCGCACAACCACGCTTCCCAGACACTCCAAATTTTCCTCAAATTGACTGATTCAGGGGCTTTTAATGACGCTCGGCAAGTTTCTAATTGACGCCACGTTTATTTTGACTAATAAAAGCGTAAATTAACTTTTTTAAATTATCTGACTTGTGACGATGAGCTCCCTATATTATGTTTCCCTGGCTATATAACTCACCTGCGCAGACAGCATTAATGTAGCTTTCACGTTATTTTTGTTTAAACAATACTGTAAGGCTTATAAAAACACATTGTACCTTGTGCTCTCCGTCGTAACGCCTCTGCTTCTCGCTTTCGCGTCACTTTTTTTTTCATTCTGTATTTTCACCGAGTTACCTCTGCCGTACGTTCTCTGCGTTCAAACAGACCCAAAGCTAACCTAACGCGTTCGACAAGCTCCGTGAAGACAAAGGCTGCCTTAGCCTCCACTAACAGCCCTGCGTCACTCACCCTCATCCTCAACTTTCACCCTCAACTCAAAAGCGAAATGAGAAACCACGGGGTCTTGACGTGCTTGGGCCCCGGATGCGATGACTCCAAGCTTCTATCGTGCTTTTTAGGCGCACTATGGAATTCGTGTTCCGTCAGGATACTGATTGGCCACGAACGCGAATCTTAAATATTCGTCCACGGATTGATCGTTGACGAGTGCATACGTCCGAGTGACGTAGTTCTCGTGTCCAATGCGTGAGCTTGGTTCGGTTGACGTGCTTGGGCACCTTCCCGCGCCAACAGCAACAATCGAAGGTCACCAGCATTTCAAGAATGCCGTGTAATATTGTATAACTAGGGTCAGTTTTAGTGCACTAATAATAAATGCACTTCGACACTTCATCACTGTGGTTTGTAACCCCTCCCTTCTTAATGGCTTAGGCCCCGAGGGAGTATTAAATAAAGAAATAAGATAATTAATAAAATATTACAACTGAGTGCGCAGCGTACAGACAGTGGTTATTTTTGAAGGGCCTGTAGGAATTTTTTACTGGTTTTTAATTTGCACCGATCCTGAGCCCACTGAACGTAGTAACTCAATCAAACTTTTCTTTCCTCGAATTTCGCTGTATCTTAAGAGTTATAGGCAAATAAAAATTACAAAAACAAGCAAAAAATAATCTCTTTCATGACGTCCTTGGTCACTTGAGTGGTCGTGAACTAGAGGAGGGGTAGTGAGCTCAGCGAGCGCTCACGGCTGCCGCACTCCGTGTCGACGGCTCGAGAGGGCGCCACTAAAGCATGTTCTGGATAGGCTGTCTGAAGCGGGCAGCCGGGGCGGCTCGCATTGCATTTGCTGCGCGACTAAACACTAATTCGGCATGACACTTCATTGGCAACAAACGACAGCAAACACGGGGTAAAGATCAGTTTAGAGCGGGAGCCACTTCGCGCTGCCATACCGTTAAAAGGCAAAACCGCAAGCCAAACCTGCTACCGGAGGCCTTGGGAACGCTCGGAACCTGTCGGATCCTCAAGCCCGTAACGACGGCAGCGCTGCCGCGTACATCCGGGACCTTTCTACGCTCGCTGCTCGTCGGTGCCTGATCCCACTACCCCTTTCTAGTACGCTCCGCTTTTTCCACCGCTTGGTGGCGGGTATGTCGACGGGTCATTTCTTGTTTCCGTACTTATAAGTTGCATTTGTTTCTTTTCTGATCTAAAATACTGAACAAACAGTACTTTCATAAATAAGTGAAACGGTTCGCGCCAATTACATTTTGTATTTCAACTAAAAAGAAGCTTTTAGCGGCTCTGACCAGTAGTAAGGCCAGGACCAAAGACGTCACATATCGCGTGCTTTCGGCACTGCGGGTCGCCCCCGTAGGTGGTGGAGGTTTCCGCGTCATCCGGTTAAAATATGACGGACTGATATTTAGTTACTCTCTCGGTGCCCGCTGGCTTGCCGGAACCCTAAGCGATGTGGAAACCGCAAAAAAGGTAGACGCTTAAATATGATTGCAGGCCCTTTTTAACAATTTACAGCAAAGGTCAGCGCTTGCTGTGTGCCGAACCATAATGCAGCATGCGGCTTTCACTCAATACGAAAACAAAAGAAGGAATCACGACACAAAAAACGATAAATAATACATGCCTTGCATGTGACGTCATATGGAACCCTACCAGCCGCCATTACTCCGCATCCTTCTCCTGTGCCAGTACCTTCTGCAGCGTACATTTCGCACCACTGAATCTGTTCTCCTTGGCAAGCCTTCCCGAGAAGATGAGGTACGATGGGTGACAAATGTATGCTGCACAGCAGCATCGTACGGCAGCAATGGCGGCCGATGGGACGTCGATACAAGCCATGTATTAAGCAACGCCATGCATTTCTTAAATTGTCCGTGACTCTAGAAGATATGCTCACATTTTGAGGGCAGTGGAGTCGGATAGGGAACCGCGCCGTGGCTGAGTATTCAGCTTCTCTTGGCTTTGCCGCTTCTCATGCGTCACACCAGTCCCAAAAGAGCTCTCCTACACGACCACCTGCACCACGCTTCACCGCAACACACCATGGTCCGCCATACTGCCACCGCCTTTATAGGGCTGCCAGGCGCGCGCCTACCTGTACCCAATACCGCCGGGCAGCCATTGGCCACAAGTCTCGGGAGGAATCGCAAGCTCTGCTCCGATTGGTCCAAAAGAGGCCGCTCTTTCTTTTCAGACTTTCCGGTGGAAAGAAAAGGAAAACAAAACAACAGGGCCAATAAAAATAAATGTTGCAAGTGTTTTCTGGTGCTTTTTTTTTTTTTTTTCGGATAAGGAAGCGGAGATATTGGCGTTCAATCTCTGCGGCTCTGCATTCATGCCAAACTGAATGGTACAGGGGCGTGGGATTACCAGAAACGCGCAAACACCCGCCATTTCGAGCTTTCAACGGATTTTCATTTGCAAGTGGCATCTGCTTTGACGTACGTGTTTTTACTTTACTCTCGAGCTGCCTAAAGTAGCTCGCTTGCCAAATAAACTCCCCTCTTTCTTATTCTTTTTTTTTTTTCTTTTGCGTTTTTGTGGGTTTTGATTGAGCGTTTCCTTTATCCCGTCAAAGTCAAGATTAGCGTATATCCGTACTCGCCTGACTTTGGGGGGAACTTTGGATTTGGTGTATACGCACTCGCTTTAAGTTGATTGCACGTAGGCCGCTGCCGCCCGACTCTGGTTCATTCACCGATTCGCCGTGAAGATATGCGCTCTGTGTTTAGGTATATGCGCGTACAAGCGTCGTTAATAAGGCTGTCGCTGTTTCTTTGTGTCCAAGAGCAGCGGTATTACGAACTCCTCTGCATGTAAGAGTGAAGGGGGTAAGAAACGAAATAACGAAGGACTCTTTTCTTGAAGTTGAAGGACTTGGCACATCGGTTCAAGGTCTCAATATAGCTTTAAAGAAAGAAAGAAAAAAAAATAAAAGACCACGTATCTCATGTGTATTTGCAGACTGAATGTTCTGACTCCCCCGTAATTCTGCCTAAGGCCTGGAAGCGTATATACCTTTCCAGCGGCAGTCTCGGACGAAGCGATTTAGAGCGGACGTCCCTGGTTTTGAGAGGGTACGTCAGTGTTGCCCGACTGCGCTGAGCTGTGGGTTTTCTAGTCAGTGGGCTGTGGCAGCCTGCGTAGGCGCAATTCCGGGCGCTGGTGGAGGCTAAATGGCCGCGTTGTATTTTTTTATTTTGTGTTCTACGGCGAATATGATTTCTCGGGCTTTTTAGGAATGCATTGTACTATTTTTTGGGAGCAAAAACGAAGAAATGAAAGCTGTTTTGGTGAGTCCGTGTGTGACAGAACAAATGCAACTGTAAAATTTGTTTCATTTTATGTTGATCTTTCTACGACACCGTACACTCAGTCGTGTCAATTTACAAAGGTCTTAGCCGTCGAAAATATTTGACCACACAGGATATCTGAACTGCATGGATATTCCCCGATCACAACATGAAATTCAACGAGTATCATCAATCGAACAACATATATTGTACATACCCCACGGTGCCGCGTTATCCGAACAGGAATTGAGAAAGGTCTCAAATAACACAGCATGTCCAATATAAAGTGTTGACGATCGACGATAGTCACCTCACAACAATCGGACAGAATCCGGTGTGTTTTGGGGAACATCTAGAAGAGAGCCATGGGCGTCGGCAGGAGGGGGACCAAAACCAAAAATATCGTCAATATAACGACCATAGAATTGTGGCGGCGGGTGTGGAAAGAAATTAAAAAACGAGTGCTCGACGTAGCCGACAAAAAGCTTGGCGAACGAGGGACCCATTTTTGTGCCCATCGCTACACCACATTTCTGGCGATAGAAGGACGTTTAGTGTTAGAACGAGTTGGGCGAGGCGGATTACGGCGTGAGACGGAGGGTTTTGATAAGGACGCTGATCAAGAAAATGTGAGAGAGCCTGTAGTCCTTCCACATGAGGGGTTACCGTGTAAAGAGATGTGATGTCCATTGTTAAGAGGATATATAGTGTCGGGGGTAGGGGCCAGATTAGACAAGCGTTGGAGGATGTCTGTTGTGTCTTTAGCGTATACCTGGACAGGTTTTGTACAATAGGCTGCAGGACCGAATCCACAAAAGCGGAGATGAAGTAAGATCCTGCTTTGTGAATTTTGGGAAGGAGGTAGAATGGAAGCGGGGATGACGAACGATTAGGCGATTTGCAGCGGGGCGAAGGGAGTTGGTTTCAATTAGGAGCTCTACGGCAGTTTTAATTTTATCTTGAAAAGCGGCGGTCGGGTCGGAGGAAAGGAGTTCGTAAAAATCAGAAACGGAGAGCTGTCGGTATATGGTATTCTTATTCTGTTTTGTCATCTCCCCTTTTACCCGAAGAAGACCGTTTGGTCGAAACGTCGTTCTCCTCTTTTCCTTTGGCACTTATCTTTCACTTTATATTCCTACTTCTACTCAGAGCCGGATTCTTCCAAAAAGCCCGACAGAACAAATCGGGGTAGCTACGAGTTGGAGTCTTGGAGATAGTCCGCGCTCCCCCTTCGCTCCGTCTGCGTAAGGAGTGCACGGAGCGAGCGGGCCCCGGGGGGAACAGGGAGGGGGGGTAGCTTCGGCATTTTGGGGGGGGGGGGGGGGGGGGGGGGGGGGTTTGACCTCTTAAACCAACCTTCTGCCTATGCCACTGCTCACGCCAGTGCTTTGTTTGGTACATGTGCCTTTGGGTTTTTCTTCTCCTTTGCCCGTAGCATGTTGCAATCATGGGAAAGGAGAAGAGAGGGGTTAAAATCGGGGTCAGGCGTCCTCTTTTGGACAATAGAGTTCTGCGAAACTCTTGGTGAATTCGGGTGGTCGTCTCTCTCCTCTGATCTCGATTCAGCAGAGCGCCCCCTCCTCGCCGCCAGAGCTACTCGGGATCCTTTTCAGCCGATCACAACTGCTGGCTTCAGAGCGCTCCGACATTCTTAGACCAGTCACGGAAGTAAAATTTCTTGACATTGGTAATGCATTAAAAACGACACGATCTTACAGCGTACGTTGGACGATTGAGCAAAATTTACGCTCGCAACGTGATGAAATAACGGTTTTGACGTAAATTGTTTTACTCATCGGCATATGAAAAAAAAAAAAAGAAAACAACAGTATGTGAATTGATTTTTGCAGAACGGAACGAAGCCAACGCTTGGAAACAGTTGTCAACTCATCGCGTTTTCGACAGTGAACGCGCTGCGATAGCAGTCATGCGTATGACTGAGCAGGCGAATATAAAATGGTTAATACACCGCATTTTTCTCACGGCGAAATATCGTGCAAGCATCGCAATGTGACACAAATCATAGTGCATTGTATTCGGCTCTCCCTTTATTTTACAACACAAACCTTTAAACGCACTTTTACCAAACCTCAAAAATTTTTTGAAGCGACTACAAAATCCGGTAAAACAGCGGCGAGCTCTGAGAGCTGTTTCATTGTCGGTTAGGCTTAGCGGATTCACCGCCGTGATATGAACGATCTTGTGAAAGCACTGGGAACACTTCACACGTCGGCTTATCCTGTTACGGTCGCAAACGAATGTCGTCCCGTCCGTTGTAATCCTCGCACCGTCGAATGCACAAGCATTTCGTAACCCACACATCATTCACCGTCATGCCGGACCCCGCACACCATCACAGACCACTGCCGGCCATCGTCAACAAAACCACGTGATCACCGTCCAGCTACCACGTGACGCCTGCGCCGCTCCGCACTCCGACGGCTACAGACGGAGTGCCAGGGAGCGCTCTGAGAGGGAGAGGCGCCCTCGGAATGAACCACCCGATCAGGCCACAGCACTCTCTTTCAACCACCCGACTTCGCGCGCTCTGGAAAGAGCGCTCGAGAGCGCGCAGAAGGAACCACGCGAATTCACCATCTGTTCGTAGCATGTCAACAACGATACTCCCCCGGGCCATAACTCACGCGGGAGAGGAGTGTCGGACTGTCCTTGTTGACACCACCGTGTTTACACGCATGACACTTGAATATTTGTGACAGGGTGGCCCACTTTGCTGTTGCTGGCTCTCTCTTCTTGGCCCAGTTGCTTGAAAGGACCACATTCCGCACCCAATCCCACTTTTTTTATATAACCGTGGGCTGATATGGGTCAGGAGTGAAAATGGACATCAGAAGCTTTTTTAAACGGAAAGCTGACAGTGATAATGACAATCCATCTTGTAAAACGAAGAAGCATGTGACCTCAGAGCCCTGTCATGACCCGCAGTCTATCGATGCACCTACTCTCTCCATCACTCCTGATCATCCTCCGGCTTCAAAGAGCCAGCTGGACATTGGCTTTGCCCTCAAATCGACTCTCACAGGTATGCCAAACTCGTCTTTAACTGTGGGAGTATTCATGCAAAGCTGAGCTTGATAAGATATATAACAATTAATAGAAAGATAAGAACCAGCGGGCTAAGATTTTACTCCAGTTCTGAAATGAGACAGAGTAAGCATGGCAAGCTGAGGGAACCCGCGTCGAGGAAATACGGAAAGTTACAATGGCAACTAACCCTCCGGCGGTAGCCCCGCCGTGCTAGCTTTCCAACACAGCTAACACAGCTTTCAGATGTCTTCCGCGGACCACAACTCGGGAAATGCTTCGAATTAACATTACGAGCGAAGACGATTTTGTGCAGAAAATTACAGTTGTAAATTTGAGGCAGAGGCCAACTTGGGGTAGCTTTTAAAAACTTGTGTAAACGTCAAATATTGTTCAATATGGAAATAAAAAGGTGTTCATTGCTGCGACTTGCAAGTCACACGCAAGACAGTGCGTGTGGCTTGCGTGCACTGTCTTGCTATTGCTGGTGTCTAGCGCACACCAGCTCGGAGCACGTGGAGCGAAAGCTCGCGCTGCAAAACCCAGGGATCCTGGGTTCGAGCCCCACCCCTGCCCGTTTCGATCTGGATGAGCATCGTACCGGCGTGCGGTCGTGTATCACTACTGCGTGATGCACGTTAAAGACCCCAGGCTAGCGGCTGTACCGCACTGGCTAAATTTCTCATCTACAGCTGGGAGACTCGT